GAAACGCACCCCGGGTGCCTTTGAAACACACCCAGGGGGTCTTTGAAACGCACCGGGGTGCCTTTCAAACACACCGGGGTCTGTTTGAAACGCACCCGGGGTGCGTTTCAAAGCACCCACTCCCGCGGGGTGCATTAATAGTGTCCCCAGGTGCCTTTGAACGCACCCCGGGGTGTCTTTCGGGGTGCGTTTGGGGGTGTGTTTTGGGGTGCGTTTCAGCCCCACAGGTGGCAAAGAATCGCAAGGAAAGCCGATAAATAAAAGTATTTTTGGCATAGGAATATTACAGCAACATTATAAAACCTTATAAACACTTATAAAACCCTTCAATATGCTATTCTTGCCTTATTTCATACTCCAGTAACACCCTTTAATTGTTATCTGTTCCATTTCTGAAAATCATGTCAATAATTTCCATAGTTTTTGCCAAAGCATGAGTAAAAACATTTTAAGCCCCGATAAAATATGAAAATCGTAACATAAATCGTTTAAAACTCCAACACAGCCTATCAAATATAAATTTTTGAAAGCGGAGCCGTCGGATGGGATCAATTCTGTATAGAAAACATAGTAAAACATATCTGTAATATTCCCATGTCAAATATACTTTTATTTATCGGCTTTCCTTGCGATTCTTTGCCACCTGTGGGGCTGAAACGCACCCCAAAACACACCCCCAAACGCACCCCGAAAGACACCCCGGGGTGCGTTCAAAGGCACCCGGGGACACTATTAATGCACCCCCGAGGGACTAACAGACCCCGGGGTGCGTTCAAAGGCACCCGGGGACACTATTAATGCACCCCCGAGGGACTAACAGACCCCGGGGTGCGTTCAAAACACCCAGGGACACTATTAATGCACCCCGAGGACTAACAGACCCGGGGTGCGTTCAAAGGCACCAGGGACACTATTAATGCACCCCCGAGGACTAACAGACCCCGGGGTGCGTTTGAATGGCACCCCGGGTGCGTTTCAAAGACCCCCTGGGGTGCGTTTCAAAGGCACCCGGGGTGCGTTTCTTGGGGTGCTGTCCGACACTATTACCAATGACGCGAGAACCCGAGTCCCGACGCCAAATCTGGGTGTTTATTTTTACGAGGCATGTGGGAAGTGCTTGAATAATTATGCCGTTTTGGGGGTCCCCCGGCATCCAGGTTTTGGCGGAACTAGCTAGAGCTACATCCCCCATCCCTACATCTCGATCTCCCCAACGCATTCAATTACGCGCTTTTGGCCCTGGCCTAGAGGCTCAGAAAAGTATGATGTATCGGGTTTTGGAAAGTGTATAGAGTATGCGCGCGCGTTGGCGTCCTTTTCTATCCTGTGGTCACTTTTTATGATGGGGCTGTTTGAAGACTTCCTGATGTGACATCCGGATGTTGCGCGCTGGGTTCATTTTGGCATGGACCAAAGAATTTTTGCGCATCGTTCCTTCCTTGCATTCAATAACTCCATCATACCACACCGTATTAACAAAGCTTTAGCTTCCCTATACTCCAAACCTTCGCGCTTGTTTTTTTGTAATCATTACGTAAGAAAATTACGTTTCTTGCTCCCTTTGACCGTCCAGATGGCGGCGCTGAGAAACTTTATCTATCGGTTTTTATGGACTTGAAAACCTTAGACCAAAAAAAGTTGCCACGCATTAATGGTGATAAAGCGTGCTTTTTTCCAAGTAGTTGTTTAATGACGTTACTCTTCCTTTTTATTTGTAAGCCTCTGATAACGGAACCGTAGGTTACCTTGCAGTACGCAGTACGGACACCGGTCGTTTTGTTCAAGTATGCATACAAGATGTCTAAAACATTTTTTAACGCTAGCGCGCTCTAATGTACTTTGCAAAGGCAGGATCTGCGTCTATGGCGAAACTTCCGTGTTTTTAGTAATCTAATCGAAGATATTTTCGGAATCCGGAAGCCCACGTCAAAGCCGTTACGTTAATTTGAGAATCTGGTTGATCGCTACAGTGCAAAAATGAGGAACTTAATTTCATTTTAATGTTCAAGAAATAGCGTCGTTGGCTCTTTTGTAAGTTACAAACTATCCACGCGAAGTTATTCCGTAATTGAGGATGTTTATCGCTACGTTAGTTGGTTTTTTCAATTCGTTGAGACACCGAGGGCCAAAAGTATACCTAGAAGTATAAAAAGAAAAAACGAAGCGGCCATCTCAATTCAGAAAGGTCATTTTACACGTAGCTCCGAGACGTTTTGAACTTCTTCGTGTTGTTGCAAAGATGGCATCGAAATCATAGGTTTCTTTCAACTCCTTGGGATCAAATTTTCGCGTCTAACTCCCGGGGAAGGAACGCCAACATGTTTTTTGCCGAGCCTCGCATGTACATTTTTGATGCCCAGGCGACTGAAAAGTTTCTGAAAAGCGCCGCTATAATTTAATATTAAAGGGGGGAAAATAGAAGTGACCAATATGTAGACAGGTGTTATTGTAAAATTCTAGGTACATACGAATTTTTGAGTCTAGTGAGTCTTGAAAGCCGAGCAAAATCGCATTTAAAGTGCATAAAATCCAGTCCCCATTATGCTCCAGGTCTCGTCGTCGCCGTCAAAGGCCGCCCAGATCTGCTCGGCCGCGAAAACAGAAAAGGTGGGGCGGAGCCCGAAGAAGTCCGCCTCATCTGATCCGAGGAGTCCTCAGAAGAGCTTCAAAAACTCGAACCAACTACCACTGGTCCATCAGCCAATGTCTTTATGTGATGCGTCGATCCCGAAAATTGATGATGTCCCTGAGATTGCCGAGATACATTGCTAAAGCTTTTGCTTTGGATTTAATAAACAAACTAAACAAATTGGTTTATTTATTGGAAGGCTTCGGATTATTTCTATTCTTTTTCCGTGTTATTATTCTTTTTTTATGTTCTTTTATCTGTCATTAAAAGGACCGGCCTAGGCATTCCTATCTATTATTTTGTTCGCCAACGACTCTATAGAGTTCCGGCATCCGCGACACGCAACGCATAACATTTGGGGCGACCGCGACGCTGCAATACGACTCTATCGCCACTCTTGTCAATATAATCCATAGCCCTGCCATGTCCAGTCCTTAAAAAGTACGTAAATTTCTGCCATTCTGCTGGGCACTTTTGTCGATCGCTTCTCGAAATAACCCTGAGTTTTGGCATCAAAAAAGTAGCGGCGAGCGCTCTAGCTCGAGCATGCAAGATTATTTTAGCTTTTTTGACGAGCTTCTGCAGGCCGTTCACATTTTCACCAGCTTCTAACTAACTTCCGGCACGCGCCAGCCGGAAGATTCCGAGAATTTCCTGTATTTAATGATACGTTCCAGCTCAAACCCGTTTTTTGCCGTTTGCTCGCTGCACATCTAGGATTTCTTTGATTTTGTAACCAGGCCCGCAAAAACAAAACCAAGGTTATCTTTGGTTGCTTCCGAAAAAGCTGATTTTCATGTCCGATGAGCCAAAAATCTGGTACGTTATGAGTTTTCCCCAGGCTTCACAAATATAGTCACATTTTCCTAAAATAGCTTATTGCCCTGAGAATGTAAAATTGCGTTTTTGTGCTAATCACGTTTTGTTTCCATTTGCAGCAATACGACGAAATTCAGTTCGCTCATTTTTTTAGCAATTTCGAGAACCAATCCCCTTTCTTGCCCTCAGGTTCAAAAACCATCCTTTCAAAAGGTGTTGATGATGTAAAAAAAGCAACATCATTTTACGATTGGCCCCATTGAAGGGATTGTTTTTTGGCAGCACCGTAGTAAGGCTTAGAAAGCGCTTCCGGCCATTTCTCTAGCTGGCACCTGCCCGGGCGTAAAAAGTGGCGTGTGCACACCTGCCAAACTCAATTAGCTCGAGTTTTTGAGGTTTTGCCAATAGGTTGAGGCAAAAAACCGGAAGGCTGGACTTTGGTTTGGCCTTTATCCGGCTACAGAATAGTCTCAAAGGCTCTAAAAACAAGCTTTTGAAGGCAAGGATTCATAGTGTCTATGGAGTCTAGTTTCTGCTTGTCATAACCTAGTAGCTTATAAAGTATTACGAGTTTTGCTCAAAAAGCCATAAAAACGCCAAAGTGCGTTGTCATAAAATAACAGAGTAGCATCGTCTGGGTTAATTTTCGCCTAATTTTGATCTATTTTATGAGTTGCATGCAATCGTGGTGAGATATAAATACTACGATATTCTTTTGGAGACTTATTGCTTGGCAAAACTTTAACTGGAAAAAATTTTTTTTTTAAAAGATCCAATATAGTAGTAGTATCCAGTAAAGTCAGTATATCTACTGCCGTTGCCTGCCAATTTTATTATGCGATCGGTCGCCTTTCATGTAACGTGCGATAAATCATTACCTGGAAAAGCTATTACCGAGAATATGATATAAAGCAGGCAAATTGACTAGAATTGGTTTTCTCACGTCACACAATCGTAATTTACTTCTTTACTTGCCTCTTTGACGTTTGAGTCGGCTTCTGGTGTCGAGGTATCTAATCCCTCTGGCTCTAATTCTTTGACCTCGTGCGTCCGCTTCTTGCATTTACTTTTTTGCTTTTTGACTGCCCTGTCATGTCAATTGTCCGAATTGCAACGTGTCAAAATGCGCCGCAAAACCCGAAAAAAATTCCTGGGCGTGTAAATTACCCTGAATTTTTTGGAATAATAAATTGACTAGTAAAAAACCCGAGTTCTAGCGAATTTTGTGGCTGGTGCCACAGAAACGGATCCATTTTTCAAATTGCAGGTATTCTTCTAGACCCATCAAGTTCAGCTAAACGGCCATATTACACGGGTCTTGCTATTGTCATGCTTCAGACTAGCCATTAGGCTTGTTGCCGATCATTCGCGTCTCACTTTCCGCGTATCAGCTCGTCAAAGTCTGTAATTTGCTGTAATTATAGTCCTCGCTAGATTTCAAATGCTTCCGCTCAGGTTGCGCTTCACCATTTTCTCATTCGTAGGCGAATTCCGGGTGAAACAGAAATATGGGCAGCAGCATGATGATGATCGGCTTCTTGGCGGCGGTTTGCGTCGCGGAATTGCTTGCAGGTAGGAAATTCTTTTTTAAGCAATTTTATAAAAGCGTTGTTAATAATTGGTATGCGTCATTGACTTGGCGGATTTTTTAGGTAGGTAGGTAGTGCCGGTTTTCTATCAAATCTTCAAACTTTAAGAATTTTTCTAAATTTTTGAATAGTTTCTTTCGCCTTTTTCATTTTTTTATATAGCAAAAAGCCACACAAATACGTAGCTTTAATGCTAACTTCTTGCAAAACAGCTTTGTTGACAAACAGCGCCCCAATTTTAGCCTCGATTCCGGCGCAGCAGCCTACAAATGAGCTCTATCGCCGGGCGGCCGAGATGAACCCTTTCTCCCGAAAATACTACTCGTTCGCTGAACTTGGCGTTCCTTCAGTCGATGTTCCAAGGAGTTGTAAGTGAAGTTGCAACCTTAAAAACCAAAAATCCCGGAAAATAACAAAAATTCACTGAATTTAATATGCTAGAGATTTGTATAGCTTGAAGCTGTTAATATTAATAAAAAGGTATTGATAAAGGATAAAAAAGAATTGAGTAAATAAAAAAGATCTTTCGTCAAAAACTGAAACGGTGCCTCTTATTAGTCCATTACGACAGGAAAAGACGTTAGCAGACGACCCCTGCCTCTTTCGAGGGAGCGCCGAGCCGCGGATTAGCCTCTCCGCTGATAGCGCCCTCTTCCCACCCCGCCACCACCCGGTCCCGTGGTGTAGCGGTTAGCACTCAGGACTCTGAATCCTGCGACGGGAGTTCAAATCTCCCCGGGACCTTCCTTTTTGCTTTTTGGGGAATATGTTTGGCAAGGTTTTACTGATATTCCAACAAACATTTCTGGCTATTTTGATATCGTGATTTAGTCAAATCAAAACCAAAAAGTTGATTTTCACTTTTCTTATTGTAGTATCTGTTAATCAGCAAAAATGTATAAAGATGCTAATTTCAGCCCCGTATCTCCAGGAAATGTTCCCGGCCCACGTCCGCTCCGCCTACGGCCAGGGAGATGCTGCGTCGACTCCAGAAATTGACGCAAGCATGAAAAACGTCGACTGTTTCTTTTTGATAAATTATGTTGTTCCAGGTACCAAAAAAATGCAGTTGTCATTAAATATACTACCCCAAAAAATCAATATTTATTATGCACACGGCGAGTGATGTGAGATCAATGGTTTTGCGAGAAAAATTAAGAAATGAACGACCGGAAACTAATAGTTGGGTGGGGACCGGTAGAGACGAGAGTGATATGAGTTATTGGTGGTAGAAAAGGTGGTATAAAAGTGTGGTGATGAGATCTGGCGGATATTTGGTCTGATAGGAGCGACAGAAAAACGATTTTAAAGGGCAGTTGATGGTATGTTAAGCGGGGCGCTTTCCAAAATAATGGTAGTTTTTGAGGACTGGCGACGCTTGTCCATCAACGAGTTGTCGTCAAAACCGGAAGTGGTGCTGTTTTTGGAGACTACCTGGAATGAACGGTTTTATCAAAGGTTCTCTGCTAGGTTGTCTGACGGAATCTAAGGCCTTGAAGTCATAAAGAAGCAATCGAAGGGTAGGACCAGTTACCAATACTGTTTTTTTCACATTGACATTTTTTTTGGATGGCATATGGCAATAGGGAATCCGTAGCCAAAATCTAGAGTAGTGCCTTGTCTGTCCCTTTAACAACCTTTGATTAACTCCAATAGCAGTTGAAACGCGGTTTGCCATTTTCAAAACGTCTCCGCTAGCCTGTCTTCGGACTTTCAAGCTATTTCTTGACTTTTCTGCTCCCCCACAATAGACTTAAATGATATTGCCAGCTTCCCAAAGGTCGATCTATTGAGATCTCGAAGTCGAACATAGTTTTTAGGTAAGAAAAGCTCCGAGCCGTACAGAGGCTCAAACGAACCTCCTTGAACAACCCCAGATATTTGATGAGTCGGTCACGATAGATGCGCTGTGTAGCGATCGTAATCACCGGATTCACAATACTCCCACTGACGAGGAGTTTGAACGACACGTCAGTCAGAAGTCGCTGCCACTCGCTCCGGACGCCGACTGAAAAAAGGATTTGACCGGTTCCTTCAAAATCATCCAAAGCGACAAAGAAACCTTGACAGCTTGCCTCCTCCCTCTTAAGTGTTAGCCTAGCCTAAGCTAAGGTCAAGCCATACCGAAGCTAAGTCCAAGCCGAGTCTAAGCCAAGCCTAAGCTAAGCCTCCACCTAAGCCTGAGTCCGAGCTTAACTCTGCGAAATCAAGCAAAGCCTAAGTTAAGCTCATGTTAAGCCCCCGCCAAACCTAAGTTAAGCTTAATTTAGGCCTGATAAGACAAAGCTAAGTGTTCCAAAAAAAAAAACTTACACATCATATTCACCAAAAAGAGAACCCTGAACGGGACGCAGGTGATGAACGTCCACAATGTTGAGGAGAACAGGAAGAAGAGGCGTTGAAACAGCTTCTGGAATCAAATCTTAAACCAAGACATATACAAATAATGGCTCCAAACAACCTAGGGGACCACTTCAGGTCAAATCAAAGCACACGCCATGCAAATCGAGGGATTTTTGGGTAAGTCACTGCACTCTTTAAGATTTACGCTTTTGGGATTGCACTCAAATTACGGGGGTTAACAAAGCAGGTATAGGTATCACTGGGAGAAGCTGCAAACACACGCGGGGGTTGTCGAACCACTGACGGAATGATTAAAACACAAGCATTTTATGCTGGTTCGGGATGATGCTTTCCTAACAATTACCTGATCCGGTTTGGCGGGATAGATACTGGCGCGGCCCTGGGAAATGGGAAAGCTCCAGTTAATTGGGTTAGGCAAATTTTTGTCGCAAAATGTTATAGTGTTAATGATATTGTTATATTTATATTTTTAAACGTGAATCAGGCATACCCCATGAAAAAGCCAAAATATTATTTTAAAAATACTGCAAAAGAATTTGGTGTTAGTAAGCGTTTTAATTGTTATTTAATTCATCTGGAAACTCGATACCTGACTCGATTTAGGTAATACTCAGCTTAAAAGCTGTAAACTTTGTCGAAAGCGTTATTTTGAATCGATTAGTCAATCAATAGTTTTAAACCCGAAAGCCAATCGATTACGCAAGGTAGGTAAAATTTTTAGCATTTGTTGAAGCTGCGCACGTGCAAAAAAACTTACGGTTCGAGCCCGATGCTCCATCCTAGTCGTCGTCTGGGCGATGCAATAGATGATGGCCGAATGGAGAATGAAGCAACGATCACCACCAGGTAATAGAAGCACATGATGATGTAGAGGGTGGTCGTTGAAGGAAATTTCCAAGCAGCTGTTCTGAAAAAGAGAATTTGTTTCGTATTAAAGGGGGATGTTGCTGGCCCTTAAAACTATATCGGTAAAAATGATTGAACCAGTTTCCAATTACGATATTAAGGCATTAAAGGTGCTGGGAAGTACATTGCCAAAAACCACTCACCCCAACCCGGAAGAAATAATTCATCAAGCCGATGAAGCTGATCAGAAACATCCACGTTGCAATCGTCAACAATAGGAATTTTTTCCGGCTGACCATCGAATAGTAGTGGAGCGGAAACTGGATGTAGAGAAGCTTATCCACGTTTAGCCTAAAAAAACGCATTTAAAGGGCTAGTTCAACCCTTAGAGCTTGGGCTGGTACCCTTGAAAACTATGGACGTAGGCACAGTGCGCCCGAACAGTCCCCCATTACGACAGCTATTAGAGATCGGGGAAATGAGAGACGCGCAGACACAAAAACGCAGAGAGGGGTTCGACTCCCGGCCGCGGAAATTCTTTTGTTTTATTGGCTGAACTAGCCCTTTAACTAGCTTTAGGAACCTTGAAGATCTGCGTCTAATACCTGTTTTGTGGAAAATGCCGTAAATTAATTTGACGCAACGGTAATTCCTTTACTTACCACAACAAATAAATACAACTGCACATTTGGACCAGCCAGATCGCAAAATAGTAAGCACGGCAAGTATCTGCTGGGAAGTACTGTAGGAACGGCCGAGTGACAACGTAGACAAGGCAAAAAAGCGAGGTCGGCGAAAAGTCATGTTCATGATTAGGATCTAGAAACGAAGAGTTTGTGGATATCATCTATTTCTCCCTCCCTCTCTCTCTCCCCCTCTCTCTCTCTCTCTCTCGCTCTCTTTCTCTCTCTCTCTCCCTCTCTCTCTTTCCCACCTGTCTTGGCTTATCATCCGTGTCAATATGCCGAATAGCAATAAATAACACGAGGATGTTGAGCAGCGTCCCGCTAACGCCAGAACCGGTGTAGAAAATTAACTAAACGGTCAACATAAGATCTGGTACCTTATATACTAATTATCAGCTTCGAATACCTATACCGTACCTCTCCAAGCGAAACAGCGTCCGTTCGTGGCGGCGCTACTGTAGTCGGGACAAGATCTTGGTCAAAAATGACGACGATGGTGATGCTTCGAAAAAGTTTGGAGGATGTGTGGTGTCCATTTTCGCTGAAAACAACAAATTTCGAGTGTTTTCTGGATAATGTTTGAACGGAAACTACATATTTGAAAAATCATAACAAGAAAGGATACAAAATCTTTAAATCTTGCAGAGCTCACAGAAATGCGAAAAATTGCTTAAAAATTTAGCTTTTAAGCATTCAAGAATAACATCAAATGTTTAACTAGGATATTTTCGCTTGATTTAAGCCGAATTTGCATCAGTTGCAAAGGTACAGTAGGAAAAGCTCAATATCAGCCAAAAAGTATCGCGGAAGTCTTAAAAATCAGAACAATTGGGGCAAATTCGAATTAAACACGGCTAATGGCCAATCTTATGAATAAAGTCTTGACCTGCAATCGGCCATGTGGCGACGGGCCAAAACATTTTAAAAATTAGCGCTTTTAGTTCTTGGTTGAGGCACGGTCCGGTACTTCGCTGACGCATTAGCAGCGCTTTAATCGAGAATATTGCATCCGGATTCGACCGGCGCAGACCGGAAGCTCAAATTTGATTTGGTGGAATGGGCGAGGATCTGGCGGATGGTCCAATGAATTGGGGGTTATTCATGGCTGGATCCGGGGGGTAGAAAATAATTCATCTAAAGCTTAAAGATACGAAAAATCTGTCGTTTAAATTTTAAGCGTATTTAGAGCAGAGATTTTAGCGCTGAGAAGTGATTTTTGGCTTTTTTCTGTGGAGAGTTTGCCATTGAAAACCGCTGTTTTCGCCAATAAAAGTAAGGATAACATCAGAAATAATATTTAGCGAAAGAGCATAGGTTCCAAAACTGGCCAAAATTACGAGCAAAATATAGTTCAACTAAAAATTCCAGTTAATCAAATTTGATCAAAACCTTTTAGTCAAAACACGCAGACTGCGTGAGGATTGCTGTTAGCCTATCTGCGTAGACTTGCAAAATTTGCCTAATGCCAAAAGCACCGAAAATGACAAAAAAAGCCCGGAAAAAGGTCCAGTCGAGCTAGCAATACCGTTGCCGGAAATGCCAAAATCTGACATCAGGCTCGTCAGATTCCCGAACTCGACCCAAAACTGCCGATTCCGAATCCAAACTATCTTTTCTCCTTCTGCATGTGGACGATAAAAATCTTCTTCGCCTTCCTGAGCGCAACGACTTTCTAAAAATACCCGTAAAATCTGCGGGGCCCCCAGCAGGGTTCGGGACGATTTCGCTTTTTCCGAAGTCGCTGGTGGGGGCGACCGGCGAGCCGAGTCGGGGCATAAACCACCTAATGGAAACAATATGGTGGGTCTCCGCCAGTCGAGACGAGGACTAGGAAGAGGAGACAGGATTTAGAATGGAGGATCCCCGGATGGGCCCGTAATACCGAAAAACAATCGGGTAAAAGGCACGCAATTTGGGTGGGTAAAAGCCGGAAGGTTAGTTTGACAAAGGTATCATTCTGGTAAATTTTAAGATCTATCTAAAGGAAAGTTGATACCCGAAATTCGTGGTTTTTACACACCGATATTTTTTAAAAGGAAAAACATCGTTAAAAAGGGGTAAATACTGGCTTAAAAACTGTTCTAAAAACACGTAATTCATTGTTGGTCTCGTTATGAGGTATATTTAAGGGGCAAAAGGAGACCTTAATTGAGCCTTGTTGTAGTAGTGATACCTTTTCGTGGAAAAACAGAAATAAAAACTGAAAATATGTTACTTTTGCCTTGACATCGTGCCCTAATCCCGATCGCCCAACTGGTGAGCGGGGCAGCTCCAACACCTCTAGTACCCCTCCCTCTCCGCAACCCCACAAGCGTCGGTGGTTCAGTGGTAGAATGCTCGCCTGCCACGCGGGCGACCCGGGTTCGATTCCCGGCCGACGCAAGTCTTTGCTTTTGGGGAAATAATTGTTCGCATGATGTACTATAACTTGTAAGCCATGCTTTTACATTTTTTCATATTTTGAACTGGTTGACAGGTATAAATGCTATCATGGTTTTTGTTACTGAATTCTGCCTCCGCTAAAGCCAGGAGCTGATAAAAACATGAGCGTTAAATGGTTAGCGATATTTTTAGAACCTTTATAACCCTCAAAAATGAAGGATATTGACTAAAATTCATGCGTAATTGAGAAAAAAGTCGCCGTGAGGTCAACGATTTTCGAGGCACAATGGAGTCAAGACTCTAGAGGCCATTTCAATTAACGACCAAAAAAATCAGAGCGCACGAGAGTGGAAGATTCCGGAAGCAATGAGAAGCAGCAAAAGAAGAACATTTTCCGGGCCCCCACCCCCCCCTGACTGGGTACTTCCTTGCACGGGGAGGACGAGTAGTAGAGTGCTCCTAGTGCACCTATAGGCCTCCCCTCTTTGACGGCCATGAAATGACTTCTTGATGGCGATAAGCGGTGTCTTGAAAAGAGGGGTAAAAGTAGCCTTTAGGGCCCAGGATCAGCTCCCGTCGGTGGGCCATTCCTCACCCTGCGTCGAGCCCCAGAAGTGTCCAGCAGGGGGCTGGGGGAGAATGTAAAAGAAACACCACGCACTGAAGAAACAATGCCCAGATCTCGATGAGCACCGAGCACTTCACTTCTTGCTCCCGAAAAGGTGGTTGAAGCGAGAGCAAAAAGACAGCGCGTTTGGTTCTACCTTAACTATGCCTTTTCGGATTTGGTCAGGTAGAAACCGGAACGCCCACTGGGTTAGCTGCGCAAGGCTTAATGCAAGCTTTAAAAGGGTTGGGTCCGTAAATTTCGAAGTAAGGGAATGAAAAATTTGCTAAAGCTGCCACAAAGATGGAAAAATGGACTACAAAAACTCGAAATACACGTTATGAAACGCCCCTATACAGTTTGCTAGCAAAGGTAGGCGCAAGGGTGCTGCCTACAGGATTCACCCCCTCCCCCCTAGACGATCAGAAAAATTGTAAACTGTGGGTCGAAGGATTTAAATTGTTTGCTCCACGCGGCGCACGCAACGCGTACATGGAATATCCGCCGTAAATTACGGCCCGTAATCCATTACGCAAGCAAGCTGCATCCCGATGCGTTCCGTGGCGCAGTTTCCGTCAAATTTATATGGAATCCAGGGCAACAAAATCTATAGCTATACCTTACACCTCTGTTACGTACTTGCGACGCCGCTGCCCGCTTTTTAGGTTATAACTGCCTGTTAGTCATAGTTTACAAATTTCAATCAACAAAACAGGGACTTCGCGTGGGTTGCTAAAGTAGCAGACGATCAAAAACAGGAACGTATAGTTCGTATACGTATAATCAATTTATAACCAATAAATTGAGGCGAAAAGAAGAGCGGCATGTAAATTAGTAATTTCCGGGAAAATGTCCTTTAACGGATGCTAGGATTCCCGGAGAGCTTCGGTACGTTTAGGGAATTAAATTTGGATTGGCATTTCTGTCTGTTTGACCGTCAGTCTTTATGTCTGTCTGTCTGTCTCTATGTCTGTACGCTTCTAGGCATCTGGAAGAGGATTCTAGACATTCTAGACAGCCCCAGAAAATTCACCGCCCGACCAATCAACCCACCCCTCGGAAAACACGAAGAACCATCCGCACATAGCACATCAAAAATAATTAGCAAATTTAGACTGGCTGCCAAAAGCCAAGACAGGCAGAAAAGACAGAGACCAGGATGTGGTGAATGGACATTATTAGAGGAAATAGGGTGAACTGTCTGAGCTGTCGGTTCTATTTGGGTATTTTTCGAAATTCCTGACGGAATATGGCGGGGATTCCATTTGAATACTCCAAGACGAGCCATACTACAACGACAACTTGTGCTATTTTTCTGGACTTTAAATCCCATCTCGGGCGGAGGAATTGTAGCGCAGCGGGGAGTATTGACCTACGGGTTTTTGAGGGTGGTAGAAAGTGATGATGTTGTGGCATTCCGGGGTTTGAATGTGGAAATGTGGAGTGGCGTTTGCAACCGATGACGAATTTAGGCAAAAACTTACTGAAACAACTTTGAACGTCTTTAAAAAAGATTTTGGTGTCTATTAAGCCGAACCAATCAAGTAATGTTATCATGAAACTTGAGCTATGTTATGCTTTGTTTTTCAACCGAGCAAAAGGCAAGATGCCGTCAGTATCCAAATTAACGAGGCCGGCACGGTTCGCCACTGATATATCATAGTTGGACCATAATTTCTTTTTGCGTAGCCGGGTGTTCGCATTAAATCAACTTCCGAAACTTTTCGATACTCTTCATCAGGTAAAGAGTAAGAAAATCGGCATCCAGTAACCAAAACGGTTGATGCAGCTTAAGAGTATGCCCACGCTAAACAGCTAAAACCTAAGTATAGCTTAGTTCCCGCAAAAAAACAACGCAAGAACCATCAAAATAGACGCTTCGATACTCCAGAAGGGCGAATGTTTGCCTCCATAAGTCACCTTAGATTTTATGGTGCTGTGTGTGGGGGTAGGAGGGGGAGGAAGAAGAGGTCGATTTTGAATTTGAAAAGGCCAAAATGGATTGTGAAGGCG